TCGTAAAACTCCTCCTCTTCCTCGCTCTCACTCCCGACAGCACTCCCCTTGTCTGCAGACTGAAACGGGAAAGGAGAAAAGGGCGGTGAAAGGACAGCATGATGTTTCTAATACGAAAAGGACTATCTACCACTCATTCAGCGGACAAATGTATTTTTATGACATCGATTCCCTAAGAATGAGCTCCTAAGGTGTTCTAAGAAAGCAAAGGAATCATCAAGTAGCTTGATTTCTCTGACAATCAGCTGCTATTAGATCCCACCTTTGTTTTCCAGCAGTTTTGCTCGGTTCTATTTAATTTAACCAGACCCACTTCCCCCCTCCCCCAACCCCAAACTGTCATTATCTAAGTGGTAAATCTCAATGACAGACTAACACTTCCATACCTGTGAGGTATCCAAGGTCTGTAGAGCCAGAGCTTCCTCCCCCAGCCTCCGATATGAATACACCTGAAGGTCAGAAACCGTCTCCAGCAACGGGGTGTTAAGGGTTTCTGGCAGTAATAAACTCAGGAGGCCCGATGTCAGGCCCGTGGCTCCAAAGACAATGAAGGGTAAAGACCACTGCACATATTTCTGTGGGGGCAGAGAGCGGAATGGAAACAAACAAAAGCATTAGTTTCCTTGGAGGTGACATCCGCAGTCTTATGGCTGAGGAACTTCCCTGTTTACTATCCAGTTAGTGCATTCCCACTAGACAACACTGTGACCCACTGCTTTTCCCCTGGAGAACTAGCCTGGGAATTGAGTGATTCCTCTGGCATACAGAGATAGGAGTGAGAATCAGAGCGCTGGCATGTGGATCTGAAGCAGCAAGCTGGTTTTTGGGGGGCGGAGGTACAGGGGCTGTGTGGGACACGCAGACCAGGTCTCTGTGGCTAGAGTTCATAGGAATCAGGTGCTGCGGTTCCATCCCAGGCATGCAGCTTCTCACACAGCGATCCCCACATACTCTTCACTTAGGAGACACTCCAGGTATTTGCTGGTGACGAACTAACTTTAAAGTTCTCAACCCTGGAATCAACTGGACAATCCCGTCAACACTCGAAGATTCGATTAGCACCATAAATGAGGGGCATGGGGGTTAAAGGTATAAGCCCCCTGAAAAGAAAAAGAGAAGCCCAAAGAACCCTACACAAACAAAGGGTTGGAAACGACCCGAACTGAACATGACAGAGGCCAGTGACACAAGCACTCGCTTCAGCAAGCCAAAACATATTCTCAGGAAAGTTGAAATAGTTCTTTAAATACAAACAGGTTCAAAGATAGCAACACAGAGTGTGGGAGAGGGGGAACAGTTCTTGCAGGATGTTGCCCTGGGGCCTTTCTGAGCTGATATTAACATTCTGGAATTCCTGCACAGGAGTTACTCAGTGTTATCATCTTCTGGTTTGGGCTTCCAAATTCTGTGCGTAGGACCACAACTGATTAGGATGTCCCCTCAGACAATATTTTGCTGGTTTTTCAAAAGAGAAGAGACGATGAAAGAGGAGGAGGAGGAGGGGGCAGAGGGGGAGGAGGACCTCTGACCTCTGGCCACTTACATGCAGACACATGTCCAGCACTGTGGGTGTGTTGTTGAATCAAAGGGAACTCAACACTGTCACCTCTCCTCAATTCAGTAAGAAATCAGTAGGAACACAGTGCTGGGTATTATAGTGTTTTAGGATAGCTATCCCAAGGTGGGTATCTCTCATGACAGACCACTCATGTCAGACACATTTTGCAGAATGGAACTAATGGCTCCTTCATAAGAAGGGTCCTATAACCTAAAGTTCAGCACGAGACCTGGAGAGAGATACTCAGAAAAAGGAAGTGTATCACGACTCAAAAAAAAAAAGCTACAATGGCATTTCAGAGATATCCTGACCTAGGAGGTGGTGAGTACAGTTGCCTGAGTAATGAACAGTTGTCTATATAACAGGTTCAAAGTGCCACGCCAAATCTAGTCACCCTTCGATGAGTCTGGGCTGGGAAAGTCACAGAGCAGACCAAGCAGAGACATGTGTAGAGGCTCCATGGGTTCTGTCAGAGAACCAGAACATTTCAAGACTGGAAGGTTGGTAGGGCTGTCATTGAAGTCTCAGGGGCCTTTGTTTTGACTATAAAATTTAGAAAATGGCAACAAGTGTGAACAAACACACTGCTAGGAGTATTTCTCTTCTCATTTTCTTTTCTAAGTGGTGAGGCTTTGAAGAAGGCATTTGGCCTCTTTCTGCCATACTCTCATCTTTAACACAGGGTAACAACAATGCCTACCTCATATGGTTGCTGTGAGGATGGCCTAACATTACCATATACGTAAGTAGCTCAGCACAGAGCCCAGCACACCGCAGAAGCTTAATAAATATTCACTAATGGACTGACTTGTGAATGGGGACAGAAAGGAGGCAAGCTGGCATTAACTCTCCAATGAAATTTTTTTGCTCCAATGAGCAAAAACATCAGAGCCCTGGCGGCAAAAGCATCTTCGGTAAGAGTCCATGCGATTAGACAGATACGTCATCTAAAAGGGTCTTTAATCTAAAAGGCACAGTTTCACATGTGTGTCAGGCCAATTTTAAATGGCTGCTGTTCACTACCTCTTTCTACTCAAAAGCACATGCATTTCCAAAGCAGAGAATCAAGAAAAACAAAATCAGGAGGTACAAACCAACCAGGGAGGGGATGAAGGGAGCGATAATCCCACCAACTCGGGAGAACATGGAACACGTGCCAAGCCCAACATTCCTGAAAGGCGTAAGAAAAATCAGTAAGTTCTACAGAGACAATTTAAAGACCCTGGGAGCTAGTGGGCCTAGGATAATAGATCCCAAAGTGGAAGCCCAGGACCCTACACAGCAGAGCTGCCTCTTAGGTCTCCCATCAGTGAATACAGCCAAAGGGGAGCCACGGCTTTGTGACCGAACACATCTACCCATTTACTGAAACTCAACTCTTAGAGGGTCGGGCATATAAATAGGAGTTGACTGAGCTCATATGCTTAGGACACCAAGAACATTACCTCTTGGGAAGTGTGGGCATGACAGAAGTGGGAAGAGGCGGGGATGGGAATGGTTATTGGGAGGATGACCACACATCAACCCCGTCATCCCAGACTAATTGTTAAAAACACCCACATTCCTCGCACATGTAAAATGGTCATCCTAGTTTTATAGCCAGTAGCCAAAGAAAGTAGGGTACAGGCATAACTAGGCAGTGACTAGCCAACTGCAGACTATCTGATCTCTTACTGGGAAAAAGGCGGGAAAAAGCCCATTAGGCTTCCTGCGTGGATAAGGGAGAGAGAAGGATCCATTTGGAATGAGCTTCGAAAACACTGTGCTGACGCAGGGAACACTGGCCGACAGTTCTGTGAATCCCTGCCCTTCAAAGTTTGGGATGTTTTTTTGTTTTCAGACCTATTTTATGAGGGGAAACTTAGGATAGAATATGTTCTTTTTTATGTAAGCAGGTCCTCCTCATTAAAAACCACCTTTAACAACTAATATGTAAATCTAATATTCACTCATTACTATATGGAATTATCTTCTTTCAAATGTGTACATTTTGTGCTAAAATGTAGGCTCTGTGAGAACAGGGACTGTGTCCCCTTGTCTGTCATGTGGCTGAACAAATGAGGTCCACCAAAATAAAATGACATCCGAGCACTACTTGGGTGACAGGATATGTTTAGAGCAGAGTACTTATCTCACCATTTGCAGGAGGGACTCCAGCTCAAGCTCCATTTTCTTTAGCCAAGTGAGCAAAGAGTGGTCTACATGGACAGCTTACAGCTGCTTGCTGAATTGCTGCTGCCCATACTGACTTTGCTCCAGATGAGGTGGGAACCCCACCTCTGTTGATACAAGTGTCCACGACAACATGCAGGATGTGTGAAGGACAACGTGCTGTGTGTGAGACATACCTGATGACTGTGGGGTAAAGCTCAGAGGTGTAGATATACACGACGTTGAAGGCAGCACTGATGGTCAGTTTCCCCAGCAGAGACAAGGAACGGCTGTTCACCACTGCAAACACACCTGTGTCTGAGGAGGACAAGGGCAACACCTGTGAGGCCCTTAGTGGAACGAATTTTTTTTTAAATGACACATTTAATTCCAAAAGAGTAAGAGGTATCAGGGTGATCTCAAACAGCAGAGGGAATATGACTGAATACACATTCACAAGGTTTAGTAATCACACGCAACACACATGCACACATTTTCTCAGTGCTTTGGCTATTGCCACGACATCTTACATAGTGGTGGTCATTATGTGTGATTAAACTTGCCCTCTCTGCTGAATGACAGAGTACCCCAAAAACTTCTGTATTTTAGTACAGTGAGTTTCAGAGAAATCTTAAGTTTCATCTACCAAGGGTGTTACTTGCCTCTCCTTTCTTCCCAACCTTGCTCAGCAATCAATGATGCAAAAAGGTGGTCAGTATGACAAGCCCTGGCTTGGGAGGGGAGTTAAGTCTGATAGATAAGGGAAGTAGACATGAGGACCAGAAAAACTCCTACCTTCAGTTTTGCATTTCACGGTATTCCATTGCAAAGATAAGAAATAATTCCATGAAATTACTACCAGAAGATATGAAACATCAATGTTCATTAAAGAACAAGACCAATAAGGGAACTATTGTTCATCCTTCCTCCTCCCCAACTGCTTGTTTGACTTACTAATCAATAATGAGATTTGAGTGTCTTAATGTAACGTTTTTACAGAAAATCCAAAATTTTATGCCAGTTCACTTCCCTGTCAAAAACATTATCAATTATCCTGTGGTTCTTTTTCAAACACATTTAACCACTCCCCTTCAGTAACCCACTAGCCTCTACCTTCGAAATAACAATTCTTTTCTTCTGAGGAAAAACAAAATTGTCATCGATTCTGTAGTACTTTCCCGGCTTCGCTATCAAACATCTCCCACGAGTGACGAGGCCCTCCAGTTCCTCATGTGCGTCTGCCCTGTAAGTCACAGTGACCTGGCTCCCAACGCCATCCTCTCCTGAAACTCCTACTCTTAAAGATCAACAGCGATGTCCTAAGTGCCAAAGTAATTGCCTCTCATTCTCCTTGACATTTCTGCCAAATAGCACACACTTGTTCCCTCTCTTGGGACTGCAGGCATGGCTCATCTAAATCACTCTTCCCTTAAATAACTCAAACGCAATATCTTCTCCTTCCTCTGACCTTCACTGCCCCTATTTCCTGATCCATTCAACTGGCTCACTCCAAACACTCCCCTGCAGTGGCTGACGTATCCGTCTTGTCTGCCCACAGTCTATTTTGAGGTACCTCAGGCTAAGGCTGGTATCTTGTTCATATCCATGTCTCTCACAGCACTTCCCATAGTTCGATGCACAGTGGTGCTCATTAAATATTTGTGGAATAAATCGGTAGAAGGACTACGATAGGGATTAATTTAGTGAAAAGAGCCTGTGTGCATGTTCTCTCAGCTTCTGAGGCGGGAGGCACATGATACACCCCATTCTAAAATATGTTTGACTTCCTCTGCTTGACAATGAAATAAATCTTCATCAACTTTAAAGATGGCGTCATGAACACAGTGGCCCAGGCACTGCCAAACTCGACCATCTGGGGCTTTCTCCTCTTCTGCCAGCCTATTTGGAAGAAGATGCTAGCAATTTTAAGCACCGAATATATTATTTTACACCATGAGGTGCTTCTGGAAAAAGAATCCCTCCTGTCAGCATTTACCCCCAAAATATGTGTCTGGACTTTTGATATCTAACAACTTCCATTAATAATAATGAGGGAACATTAAATTCACCCATTATTTTCCAGAAAAGTGAGTGAATTGGGAAAAGGTATTGAGTGACATGAAAGCAAACAGAAATGTGCATATCTGCTTGACTGCAAATGGTCTCTGGGACTGTTTTCAACCCGAACAAGATGGCATCTTTCAGAACTGTATGGAGATGTTCTAAAACATCCTTAACAACAGGTTAAGGATTGTCATCCTGAAAATTGAATTCAAATGGCACATCATAGAAGGCTTGTCATCTAAACACCCATAAGATCCAAGGCTGAAAGAAATCCCCCACCTGGGTCTCAGGACACTTCCAGCTGTGGCCATCTGGGAGCCTGGATCCAGCCCCACGCCCACAGAGTGCTCCCAGCAGCCTAACACCTCATCTGATCTTTGAAACTTCTCTCCTGTGTTTCTGTCAACAGAGTCTGCAGTCACCACTTAAACTTGGGGGAACTCACTCGCTCAAGGTAGCCCATGTAAATTTCAGACAGCTCTGTTTATTAGATAATTATTTCTTATTCTCTTTGAGACCCCTGCCTGTGGAACTGCTGGGCTGTTGGTCATCCTAAGTTAATGTTTAGGAATGCTTTGCAGCCACTGGGCTGGTTCCCTGTATCCCTGAGCTTGGTTCTTTACCCAAAAAATCAGATATTATTGGCTATTACCAATGAATGTTCAAAGCAACTGTTTAGAAAAAAGAGTGACTTAAAAGAGATAATTTAACTGAATTATCTTTTTTTAAAAAGGGAAGGGGGGAGGAATTCTCAAAATACTTGTCTCCTTCAAAGTACTGAACTCAAGAGGCTATAAGTTTATTCCTATGATGCAGCTACTAATTTTTGGAACTAGTTATCCGGAAGTTTTCTCAGAGCTGATTTGGGCTCACCAGGACAAAATGTCTCATTATGTTATAGTCACATTTCACTGACCCAAAATAGTAAAAATTCAACTTAATCATCTACATATAGTCACTGGGTGACTATAGCAAATTTTTTATTGTTTGTACATATGTAAAAAAATCTTTAAGACAGCTGTAGGCCCTCTACTATGATACATAGGTTAGGGGAAAAAACACAATTCATTTTGCTTCTCTTTGGCTTTTTTTTTTTTTAATATCATATATGCACACAGTTCTGCCACTAGAGTTTCACCATTTCTAGAATTCCTCATAAATGAAATAATTGTTTGTAGACTTTTGTGTCTGGATTCTTTTAGTTAGTATAACACTTCTGAAATTTGTCTCTATTGTTAGATGTATCAGTAGGTTTTAAATCATTCCTTTTTGTTGGTTGAGTAATATTTCATTGTATGGACATACCACAATTTGCTTATCCATTCCTCAGCTGATGGGCATTTGGTTTCCCTCCAATTTGGGGCTATTATTAATAAAGCTACTATGAACATTTGCATCAAAGTCTGTGTGGATCTATGTTGCTGCTTCTCTTGAGTAAAGCTGAGTCATAGAGTAAGTGTATGTTTCACTTTAAAATAAGCTGCTAATGTTTTCCAGTGTCTATACCATTTTGCATTTCAATTGGCAGTACATAAGCATTCCAGTTCCTCCTGTTATCATTGTCAACATTTGGTATGGTCAGTCTTTTTTATTTTAGCCATACTATAGGTGTGTAGTGGTATCTCAACAAGGTTTTAATTTCCATTTCCCTAATGTCTAATGATATTGAACATCTTTTCCCATGCTTATTTGTCATTTTTATATCCTTTTGGAGAAGTGCCTGTTTCAAATCTTTCTCCCATTTTTTTCTCCTTACTGAATTGTAAGATTCTATATTCTGGATACAAGTCTTTTATCAGGTATGTATTTCACAAATATCTTTCCCATTCTGCACCTTACTTTTCATTTCATTAATAATGTTTTTTAAAAAGCAAAAGTTTTCAATTTTGATGAAGTCTTAAGTTGATTTTTTTTTCTTTCTGTGCCTTTTGTATCCTATTTAAGAAATCTTTGCCTAATCTAAAGTCACCAAGATTTTCTCCTATGTTCTCTTTTAGAGGTTGTATAGATTTAGCCTTTACATTTAGGTCTACCATCAATTTCAAGTTAGTTACTGCATATGATATAACATGCAAGTTGAAGTTAAATTTTTGCATATGGATATCCAATTATTCCAGCACCATTTGTTGAAAAGATTATCTTTTCCTCATTTAATTGACTTATCTTTGTTAAAAAATCAATTGACCATGTGCATTTTTCTCTATGTATGTTGTAACTGAATAAAACATTTTTAAAAGGTGAGTAAAAACTCATTCCCTCCTCAGAAAATAAAATAAAAATCAATTGACCTTAGAGGTGGGTCTATTTCATACCCAATTCTGTTCCATTATCTATCTAGACCACCATTCCTATGCCAGTATCATACTGTCTTGAGTAATGTAACTTTGTAGTAAATTTTAAAATCAGGTAGGGTAAGCCCTCCAACTTTGTTTTTCTTGAAAAACATTATTTTGGATATTCTAGATCCTTTGCATTTCTATAAAATTTTAGGTATTAACTTGTCAATACCTATCAATAAAAAGAAGCCTGCTGGAAATTTTGTTGGGATTGTGCTGCAGATAGATCAATTTGGGGAGAATGGAAGTTTTAAACAACATTTTCTGATCCTTCAGTATGGTAATCTCTTTATTTATTTTATAATCATTATTACCACTAATTCATTTCTTTGATCTTTCATTTCTCTCATCAATGCTTTATATTTTATAGTTTCCTATATTTTGTAAAATTTATCTCTAAATATTATGTATTTTTAATTTTACTACAAGTAGTATTGCTTTATTCCAATTTTAAATTATTGACTGTTAATATACAGAAATAAAATTACATGTCACATGACTCTGCTAAACTCATTTATTAATTCTAGGAGATTTATTTTGTATGTTCATTAGGATTTTCAATGGAGATAATCATGTGGTCTTGTGGTCTTTCTTTGTTTCCAATTTGAATCCCTTTAATTTCTTTTTACTGCCTTATTGTATTCGCTTGTAATTTCAGTACAATGCTTTATAGAAGGTGTACGAATAGACATCCTTGCTTTTGCTCCGGTCTTCGGGAGCAAGAAGGCCAGGAACGAGGTGTTGTTTATGAACAGTATCCTGCACATAGCAGGCACTAGAGAAGTTCAATGAATAAAGAATGGGCAGGCCAAGGCTGACAAAAGACATGAGATATAAAGGTTCCACTAGAGCTGAGTCTGAACACATGCCCTTCAAGTATGACACTTGTCCATCTTGTCACGTGCAGGCACTTCCCAGCATTCTCTGGCAGGACTACCACTGCCAGAAACCACTTTGCTAACCTCCTTGCCCAGTGCCACCCTGACAAGCCGGGTTCTTGACCCTGGCCAATTCCCATCAGGCCTGCCCACTGAAGACTAAGAGCCGGCCCTCCTCAGGCAGTGTTAATCCTCTAAGGCCATAGCTTCACTATCTGCAACGAATACTTTGGTTCCACGAAACAGCATTCCCCAACCAATATTGACTTAAGAGTCATAAAGACCTGAAATCAGACTCCCAGGTGTGCTACTTACTTGCTATGCAACTTCGGACAAGCTGCTTGACCTATCTGACCTTTAGTTTCCTTATAAAATGGTGATAATATGTAATACCTTCTATATAGGAGGAGGACCCAGCACATAGTTCTCTTGTCTTTATGAAGACACTTAATAAATGGTAGCCAGTCTTGTAAGCTTAATCAGGATCTTTCAAGCAAGGTAAAATGTATGATGACCAATCTGTGGACAAACTTAGTGGCCACCTGATAACATTATCCCCAGAGGGAGAACATTCATTTGGAGGCCAGCCAGTGTGCAAATATGAACTGGACAGAACACTCTGTCTAATAATTATAAACCACAGGCTGAGAAATGCCAAATAATCTATTTTCTAGCTACCTGCTGTCTTTTCTAGTTATACCTCTATGTCTGTGCTTCAGACACAGAGAACCACAGTCATATATAGATGCTAAAAAAAAAGCTGGTAGGTAGAGGGACACCTGAGTTGGCAGAAAGGAGAGAATGAACACAGATTTGGTGGAGAAAAAGTGAGGGGAAAATAAGTCTAAAAAGCTGTGAGAAAATGAGTGGTCTCCAAGTGCACACAAGATGCTAACAGAATTTTCCAAACTACTAGGCCCCGTTTGAAATATGTATTTATCAGAACGTTCATAACATGTAGCTTAAAGCTCAGAACCTTTACAAAATTGAGATTTCAAAGAAAGCCATCGAAATATTTTAAAGAATAAATATGAAAGGTTGAAAGAAAGTTTAAAAAAACAAATATTTTTGAGCTCAAAAAAGAGACAATTCAGGATCAGCTAGATGACTGTCTGCAAGTGTAGAAAGGATTATGTTAAAAAAGTAAAAGGGTGACCATCTGTTCTCTGTCTCTAGTGATGAATAAAACGAAAGGAAATGGGCTCAGTGTAGTGGAAGAGCATCATTCTAACATTCTAATGGTTATCAGAAATAGAAACAATTTTGCTAAGGGACATTACGAAATTCCTTTCCCTGGAAATCTTCAAAAACAGACTAGATGTCCGCTTTTCCAACTATAATAGAGGTATCGCGTTCCTAAGGTATGTTTGTGGAGGGTGCACGACACTCGGCTATGTCACATTTCGTATACTCTGCTATGCTAGGTGTCCACCAAGGGGCACAATCAGCCAAGAGTTCAAGCTGCTCTCTTAAATCAGCTGGAAGTGAGCAGAGTAAGAGGGGTCTAGATCCACTTCACTTTGGGTGTTTGTAGAAAGGGCCATGTGCAGAGTCCTAGGTGTGGGTTACCTGGAGTGTACAGGTATGTGGGAGGGAGGAAAGACACTGAGTGGCCCGTCTTGCATAGGTGTGACAGGTTACAGGTATGCTGAGAGTAACAATAAAGAGCTTCTCTCTAGAAGGTGACACACAGAGCACTAGACTACTATAGGTAGAAAACAATTGAATTGCCAAGTCGTCTATGAAAAGCAAAATCTGCCAGACAGAAAGCTACAATGGTCTGCAGCCCATGACTGTCTTGTCCCAGGCAAACAGAACTGGGCACTTAGTCCCACAAGCCTGGGGCTGCAGCAGCTCAGGAGTCCCTCTTTCCTGGCACTAGCAGAGGCAACAATTTGCTTAGAGAATAAGACACAGCCAAACACTGAATTCTCTAGCTTCCATGAGTCCATGAAAATCACTAGAAGGCTGTTTTAAATGTTGGGTAAAATCCAGCATGTCAACCAAGGGCACCCAGATTCAAAGCAAAGAATGGCAGGGGGCAGCCACGAGCATGGCAGGTACACTGCAGGTTACAGAACTCAAGCGCGTGGCCCTGGCGTCCTCCACGGGCTACCTGCACAACTGAACGGCAAGGGGAAGCAATTGCCCAAGGAGCATTCATATGTGAAAAGCTCTGATGGTAAACGGCTTCTTAGCTGCATTTCCAGTAGTTATCAAACCTCTACGTTCAACCGTCTCACGAGTCCCACCGGAAGTACGAGACGGTGCTCAATCAAAATCAAAATGCCCCCCAAACAGGGCTTTTGTTGAACCATATACCTTGGCAGCAGAGTTGTTGTAACTCACTCCTTGTCATTGAAGATCACCGCTAAAACCACAGTTCCTGATGTGACTGGTAACTGGCATGCCTCAGGTGTACCAGTCCAAAAAACAGGTGAGAACCCATGCTATCTATAGAAATTCCATATAGGAGCAGATAAGATTAGATGAGGAAGCTAAAAGGGACCTTTCTGGAAGCTATGTTTGCATAGCAGAGCTATAAATATATGAAAATACCAAAGTTCCCTAAGGATGTTTTATTCACACTTACAGAAGACTGAGAAAATGCCAATTTTCACCAACCATGAATATTCTTATTGTTGCCGCTATTATTATTGTGAATATTGATAGACTGAGAATATTGAGGGGTGCCAAAGCCACCTTTCACAACCAGGGACACCAATCTCCCTCCCATCTTGTGATTGGCTGGAACGACAAGTCCAATCTACAGAATTGGCCGGGGTTTCTTTCTGTGCAGAACTAAACGGTCCTCATCATCATCAAATAAACAACTCTAACAGCACCAACACTGCAGCCCAGACACCCCAGATGGTAGCTTAATCGCCTGAAAGAATTAATAGTGCACCTCTCAGCACATTATTCACCCAGAGAACAGTTTAGGCAACGGAAAGAATCTGGCCCATTATACCCCACACAATTGCTAAATAATATGCAATCATAGAAATGAACCATGGCATATGGTAATCTCTCCACTATATTGAGATTCATTGTAATAAAAGTGCTGTTCAAAACCCTTATGGAGAAATTCGAAAGGCATACCTTTCTTCTCAGGAAGAAACATGACAATAAGACAAGCCAGGCCTCCTAGGCACAGAAACGCTGCTAATGTCCGCTTCCGACCAAACCTAAATAATAGAAAAGAAATGACGCATTTCTCTTGGGAATCTTATGACTTCATCTGTGTCTTCCCCCTAACCATCCTTTTTAAAATGTCCTCAGTTTCATTTATGCATGTTCATCTTTTCTTAAGGAGTGCATGGTACATGTGACTGACCAGGACATGAAATAAATAACCATTGAAAAACAAAGGGAAACTTGCTGGATGGCAGGGTTAAATAATGTGTGCAAGGGGGAAAAATCATTCTCTCTGTTTCTGTATTTGCTGTGTGCCAGGCACTGTTTCAGATGCTTTCTATCTATTATCTTACTTAATCCTGATAATAAACCATACGGCGTGTGCTGTTCTATTCTCTCCACCTCCCAGAGAATTAAACTGAAACATAGAGGATGGGGTCTTCTAGCTCATTTTAAGTTTTGGTTACTTGAATCTTATGCAGTTACACATTTATTTTAAATGCTGTAAAACAAGCCCCTCTCTTGAAAATACGAACAGAAAAAGTTTTCTTGTTAGTAGGTCAGAATTAAGGGAAATTTATTGCACGCTTTCCTGGGAGGGGCAATTTTCAAATAAGAGCTCTAGACTTGGAAGAAAGATATTAACATACATAAGCCACCCCCCACCCCCGCACCTCCACCCCCCATTTCTAGGGGCCTGCAACTTGCTAGGTCCTTGTTAGGAACTTCAGAAGTACTTGTAATTTCTATGACAATTTTGCTAGGGGAATTTTATAATCCCTAGTTTAAGGATGAGTACATGGAGGCATAGGGAGGTAACTTGTCAAAAGTCACAAAACTAACACGTGACTGGGACTAGATTTGAATTCAGGTCACCTTGATCCCAAAAGCAGCATTCCTCCCTTCCACTTCAGACTGTAATCCTGACTCTGGTGGGAGCAGCGGAGGAGACGGGAGATGACTTAAGTTCTGCAGGTCATTTTGCTTAATTTAAGTCAGCATCGAATGCCTTCCACGTGACAGATCCCATGCTAGGCAGGCCCCAGGGATGCAAAGGCATATAGGATTCCCCATGGACAGTGTCCTGTAGCACTTTCTGTGGTGGTCAGAGGGGTACACAGGAAGCTGTAACTGCACAAAGGGGAGGCATCTGGCACACTGGGGATGGTGGGGACAGATTTTTTAATGTGCTGCCTAACTCAGCTCTTAGACCACGATGAGAGTAACCTTAGTCACTAACAGAGGGGTCAGCAGAGGCAATGGGGAGTCCCCCCACACCCCCCGCCCCAAAGAAAACCCCTTCAACTGAACAGAATCCAAACCTACCCTTCAAAATGTGCCAAGGTCACGATCAACAGCTCCAAGCGCAAGGCTAAAGGCATGCTGGTTTCTGGGAACTAGAACTGGCACAATTCAGCTGATTGCTAGCTCACACAGGATGGGGATTTTCGTTGCCATGGTCAGGGCTCAATAACAGAAGGGAGCTGAGAAAACTGAGGAAAGGGTGTGCTACAGAACTTGTAAAACGTATTTCAAAATGGTGCCCACTGACAATGAGTAGCAAAACAGGACATAGTCTTCCCCTCCACAAAGTCAAGTGGGTCTTAAGAGGTAAGGAACATCTTTCTTGTTCCTCCAGTTCTTTGTCCTGGGGAAGCACTTCTAAATGACAGTGACTGGGTCAGTGGGGTTCTGTCTACATAGAGCTAATAATCCCATCTGCAGGGACTAACGAATTATGCACAGATGACGCAAACACCTTCAGGAAGTAATGCCTTTTAATATTGGATTGAAAGCCTACATAAAAACTCATAAACATGAAACCCAAGAAATATTATACTAAAAAACAAATTCTGTGTTTGGTCTGAAAACAATTCTCATCACCGGGGAGTCATTAGCAGATACTGTATATGGTTAAAGATGGTGATATTTAGGTATTTACAGATGTGAGTGTATGTGTAGGGTACACTCCAATATTCATTTATACTCACCATTTTTGGTTAATCAAGTAGATGCAGAGGGGGTAGGATGGAATCTCTATGAGGCCAGACAGGGCCAGATTGGCATAAATACTTCCTCCTAGATCACCTGCACTCAGAGTTAAGCCATAATACACCAAGCTGCACACAAACCTGCAATTGGGGGTGGGGGTGGGGGTGCGGTTAAAGACAAGAAGGACAACAGAAAAAGCACGTAAGAATTTGCCAGAGAAGATTCAAACACTGGTTCAATACAATGCAATCTGTCTCAAGCAATAATAAGCTTGACTCGCCCACTAATTAGGACTTCTCTCCTAATCTAAATTCCTATAGTAGAAAAAACCCCAAAAAACTAAAGGGCCCTTGGAAATCATTTGTCTAGATGTTAGATGAAGCACATGAGTGGCAAGCTGCTGAAAAAAGACATTGTGCTTTCATCAAGCATTTCTGCATTTACTAGAAGACAACGACTCTAGTCTTACTTTATTTAACACAATTTATGGGACACTTGCCTTAGGCAATTGTTGTGATATTGTCAAAATGACTAGAAAAGAACTCCCATGGAGAAAGCCAAGAGAACATGAGCTGAGACGCGACTATCATCAGTGGATCACCTGCAGGCCAGAAATGACTGGCACTCCAACCCCGATAAGGTTTTCACCCCCCTCAGCTGCCTATGCTGCAGACGCCCAAAACAGGAAAGAAAAGACAAGGGTGATGGCAGAGGCCGGATGCTCCAGGATAATCAACCGGGGAAGGGCCCTCTGAAAAGCCATTCGTTTATTTAGTTCTGCACGCCATTGCTGAGACACTTAGGGAGCGCCTCCTAGGGGGCCGGCTCTGTGCCTGCCTGAGCCCACCTCCCTCGGCCAGGAACTAGGGAGCCCAGGAGCTAAGCCAAACCAAGTGCCATCTTGAAGCTGCAAGCTGGGACTTCCTCAGACAGAGTGAAGGGAATAACAGTAATGTTTGTGTCTAGGAAACGGCATTATTAAAAACTAAACAAAATAGGACTGAACGAACAAACAGAAAACCCTGAAACTAGGCTTTGCTAATATATGGCTCCATTTCCGGAAATCATAAATTCCTATAAAACACTTGGGCGTTGGCAGTTTGCCAGTTCTTATGTTTTTGCAATTCACTTTGACAAGTGTTTACAATGGGGAAGTTCTTATTTACTTCCTTCTAGTTTTCCTTAGAAAAAGTCCAGGGAGCTCTGGGCTATGATGAAGTCAAATGGGAAAGGCGAAGCTTTCTGTCCATCTCTGCCAAAATAGCTAAGTTTGTGCCCAGTACCCCGGGCTGTTAAGAATGGGCTACAAAAACCAAGGCGGGGCGGGGGCAGGAGGAGAGAGGGGCCCCTTGGAGCGGGACTGCTCAGTGCTGCTCCTCCCTCTCCGGCAAATGAGCCAGGGGCAGCAGCTACTTCCTATTACCTCTTCCGGGGTAAAGCTGTCACTCATATACTAAGGACAATGAGCAGTGTTGTAATCAAGACGTCACATGTAAGGATGCAAGGTGCTGCTGAGTTGTCTGTAAGAAGCAGGCAAGGGCGGCCAGATGGCTCAGTTGGTTAGAGAGCATGCTCTTAACAACAAAGTTGCTGGTTCAACTCCTACATGGGATGGTGGGCTATGCCACCCCCGCCACACAATCCCCCTCCTCACCCCGCACCCCGCAACTAGATTGAAAGGGGCGACTTGACTTGGAGTTGAGCTGCGCCCTCCACAACTAAGATTGAAGGACAACTTGACTTGGAGCTGATGGGTCCTGGGAAAACACAGTGTTCCCCTTCCCCAATTCCCCAATAAAATCTTGAAAAACAAACAAAAAATTTATTGAAAAAAAAGAAGCAGGCATAACAAATTTAAACCCATGCCATTTTCTAAACTATTTAAAAAATCCTTTCTACCTGCAGTAGAGACCCTGCTCTGAAATAATGCTATTCCTGATGTCCTGTATGTGCTAGTGTGTGTCTAGTCTGTATGTAAAATAGAAGTCCCAGGGAGCTAATGCCGGCCATGAAAACACACACATCCATGTAAACCAAGCTATGATGGTAGCAGCCAGAGCATGAATAAACAAAGCCGGTTCAGGATACTAGAGGAAGTTAGTTACCAGCTGGTGGTGAGAGACAATGGGCAAGGAAGGCATATGTTTCCAAGGTGGAGATGCTGCCTGCAAGTTTCCGTGATGGCAGAGCTGGTCATTGGGATGAGTGACTACAGCAATTAAAATCATTTCAATGCTCTTTATGGGCCCCAAACAAAATTTAAAATGCTTGCATAATATTTAACAGTATATTTAGGGCACCAAAGAACTATTTAAAAAGGCACTACTGTGGGAAATAATCAAAGGAACAGATGTTAAACACAGAGGTATAATTTTACTCCCCATTTAAGGCTTTTCTTCAATGACAGACCCACAGAGAAGACTTTAGAATTTTATAGCATCTTCAAAAAGAACGGCAGTGTGTGAAATGACATTGTCTCTATTACCATGTATTTTAACATTCTGAGCCCGGGGGAAAGAAGTGTATTTGAGAAGAATTCCTTTGGCTGTCTGGGTACGATAGAAAGTAAGCAGGGACATTCTCCCTGGCTCTAAGTTTTGTTTGTTGTTCATTTGTTGTTTTTTTATCCCCTGAAGGTCAGAACCCCAAAATGAATATGCCTTAAAAAAATTAAAATACAAAAAAATCTTAAAAAACAAGAAGTAAATACTCCCCAAGAAGGAAGGGGATCCTTCAAGGCAGAGGGTTTGACCGTCTGCGTGATATGTAAATGCAGAGGTTTATGAAGCCCAAGGCACCTGAACATACTTTGTAAGTGTTTCCTTTACAATAGGTAGGACCTCAAATGAGCTCCTATGCTGTGTTGTCAGGTTTGGCTTGTAAAGGGTCCCTTCGTCTCCATGCCTTCAAGCTTGTGCGTCCTTAGTTCAATATTTATTATGCCATCTGTGATATTCCAGCCCTGTGCTGCCTCCCTAAGGAAGGTGGTGTGACATGGCCCCTGACCATCCAGGCGGCGGCCAGTGCATGATGGGTAAGCAAAGAGAATCACGATACAGAAAAAATATCTTCGCAGCTTCTTAGTCTCGATCTACTTACTGTTACATCTTAGCTTTATACATCAATCACTTTCATATAAAATTACTCTCCTTTATCGCCATGGGATAATGTAGGTTTCCAAGCAGGCTTCATGGCAAATACATACAAACCACCTTAGGCCAGTAAATGTGATGTCCACACCCAATGCTGGACCAAATGACGTCTATGGCTCCCTAACAAAATATGCAATGTTAAAACACAGGTGCACTTCCCAAATTGTATGTACTACTGTCCACCCATTTCTCCTCTTTCCATAACTTCATTCTTTAAGTAGAACCATCTTGAACCATTCAATGCCATTTACATGAATGCCAAGAGCACTCTGAGAGGCAGTTTGAATAAGCTAAACTTGAATATCAGGTTCAGAGAGTGTGGATCCATTCATTCCGATTTGCATATGTGGTATCGAGTCCAGTCACTTCACACGCCCAGGACCCCAACTGTCCAAGGAGTAACACTTAGCCGTCTGAGAGAGTGAGTGGGAATGCTGAAGAAAATACAGCTCAGGGCACTGCAATGACAATGTGCTATCCGACTGCTTGATGCCAAAATCAAGGTACATTTTTAAAGTCCTATTTAGAAACTCTTCTGTTTCTTCTATGCTTGCTGCTTTCCGTTTTTTGGGGTGTGGGGGTGGGAGAGAGGGGGGACTAAATATTTACACCAGATACCTCAAGAGCAGAGATGTGTTTCTGACATCTGTTTAGTAAAGTTCAGTAAACCTGCATCAGGCGCCCTCATTTCCTCCTTGAGAGGGAGGGTGTGAAAACAGAGGGAAGCACAAAACTAGGTACTAAGGGACCAGGGTGGTGGTGGGGGGGTGGAGCTTGCTTCTGTGAAAACAGCCTCATGCTGACAAAAGCGGTAAAATTCAGATTATCAATAGACCTTTAGCAACTTGAGTTGAAAATGAATGTTCACCCTATCGATAGAAAAATAATTACCAGATGAACATCAGGATCAGGGTGTGCCCCAAGAGGACCCGGTACCGGAACAGGTCCAGGAAACTTCCGGTGTCCCTGCAGCTCCTGTTGGCCGGGGGTGTGAGTGAGAACGTACACTTGAGCTTGCGGTTCCTCTTGGCGATGAGATACAGAGCAGCCTCCGCCTCACTCAGTCGACCCTGGGAGTATAACCAACGAGGTGATTCAGGAATGAATCTGAAAGAGACGTCATTAAAGGCTGTATATTCATATAGGTACGTGTGCACAGAAAGGAGTCAGTTGACCTACGGCAGGTGGGACGCAAAATCCCTCACCACAACCGGCTTCCACGTTGGGTCTAAAGCCTGACTCTCCCACTGACATGGGGGGGTGGCACTTTCAACAGCATCAAATGGGGTCTGCTTTATGAATGGAAACCAAGAACACGCTTCCAAAGTAACAGTAAAAATGGTAAACAGTATGCATTTACTCTTAAGCAAATGTTAACACATGAAGTACCAGTTACGTCTACAATATGAATACAAAGCACAGGTCAGAGATATGACTGTAATTCACAGCCAACTGTTGTTAGAATAATACTGCAGAGATAGTAGGTTTTTTTAAGTTCTGAAACAGCCTCACAAAAGAAGATAAAAAATCTTTATCCCATCAAAAAAAATATTTTAAAAAGTGCTTTTAATGTAGTGATACTAAGAAGGTAGAGATTATTTTATACTGCACATAAAAAGTAAACAGGGTTTATCACAAATTAGTTGCTTTTGAGCATTTACTGCTTCAAAATACTCGAATCAGCTGACACATCCAATTTAATATGTCTTGTAATGATATTTTCTGATCCCCCAAGGCCTTAAAGAATAAAAGTTACTTTTTGGTTGACTTCCACTTACTAAACAACAGTAACTTTCTACAACTAAGGGTGTTACTGAATATTTATTTTTCCCTGATATCTTCCAACCGTTTCAAGGCTTAGATATCATGGCTCTCTTCTCGCCTTCACAGTTCTACAATACCCTTTTAGAGGACTTTTCAAAGACAAAACTGTGATAGGAACATGGAAGCCTTGTATACTAAACACAACCTCAAGTACCTTTGAATGTAATTTGACATTACTGACCTAAAACGAAACTCGTATAAATAATATTGGCTATTTAAGGTGCGTTTTAGAATTTGCCATGCTTTTCAGTAAGGGTAGTGAACTGGCAACAAACATCACATAACTTGGGACTTCATGGACTGCCAGTCTGTCAATAACCATTTATTAGGCACTTTCATTTTGTATGCAGCAGTGGAATAGGTGCAGAGGGGAAAGGAAATGGAAACAAAAAGGCAGGAATGTTCCCAGGAGTCTTGCTACCGGGGAGAGCCCATCTACATACCACTTTTAACTGTCAACAGAAGCAGGAACAACGGCCTTCTACAACATCCTGAACAATCCCTTTACTTACTTCCTCATTGCCAACTGATTATTACTACTGAAAAATAGGAAATAATCAAGTGAAATATTGTTCTGTTGGAAGTTAGGTCTGCTGATCACCCATTGGATCTACTAGCCCTATCCACAGGGCCATATGGGATGCCATGCAAATAACCTGATTAAGTCTAACTACAAATAAAAAGAATAAAAAAAGACTACTGGGATGACTACAGATACTATACTTAAACAAATAAGTGGAATACTAGAAAATATCTGATAATATTTAAAACTGAGGAGGACAGCGAGGAAAAAAAAAGTGACAGGCATTATCTTTGGGTAATTTAAGTCATTTTCCCCTCCCCTTAAACTTCTCTGTGTTTTCAGAGTTGCTTATAAGCAATAAAAATTACTTTTAAGACTTTATAAATCATTTTTTTAACGATTTTTTTATTGGAGAATTGGGGGGATGGGAACAGTGCTGGGGAATTGGGGGAAGGGGAACAGACAAGTTGCTGTCATTTTGTTCTTCAGTCTAGTTGTGGAGGACGTTGCTTCACTGGTCCAAGTTGGCACCATCATTGTACTCTTCCCGGGCGAGGCACATCAGTTGCCGGCTTCTGGATGGCCGCTCACTGCGGCTGCTCACGCTGGCTGCTGGCTACACACGGTAGCCCATGGCAACCCACTGCCACAGGGGCTGCAGCCTACACCGTCGCCGGCAACTCACAGTAGCCCAGCTCCAGGTTGAGCTGTTGTTCAGCATCTTAGCTGTAGAGGGCAGTGTCACTGGCCCTCATATGTGGAATCCGAACCGGGGCCCTCTGGCATCCCAAGCCAGCTCTTAACCATTGCACCACTCGGCCGGCCCTATAAATCATTTTTAAAGATGACAATTGAGAGAGATTCAGGCTTTGGAAATTTAACTCTGAGTTAATCAAATTACAGAGGATGCCAAAAACATGTATACATATTTTAAGAAAGGAAAACCTTTATTAAAATTGTAATAATACATACCGATAACAAAAGATCAATACAAGTCATGTGTATCCATTTTTTTGGGACCCCCAGTATTTCTACTTGGGAAAGCTGGTCTTGATTATGCAAACTTAGGACCTGATATTGCTCCACATTTTGAGAAGCCAATCAGCTTCTCAATAGCAAAGGCTCCCCTAGTTGCCAATGGGCAGGTTTGGGAATATGACTTCCAAAACATGGAGATTGTGCAGACCGAACAGTAAGACATGTTTTGACAAGAAAAAGCAGGCCTTTGAACACGCTGCTCTTTACACAGTGCGGTGATCTTCTTCAGAAGCTACAGTGCTCATTTAACAGTGTTGTTTCTGCTCAAAAATGTTCTGTGAATGTCTTAAAAAGTGGAAAAACCCTTGCAAATTCAGGGGGCACTGCTTTTTAAAAGAAAACTCTTCAACTTCAAGCCTTGTGCAAATGAGGAATTTCTAAGCTACGTAATAATGGCTCTAGTAAGACAAACACACACACACAAGGATGACCCTAAAATAATGTGACTTTCTCTTATGTTGCTGATGGCTAATTCCAAATGTGTTTGTGCCGACATCTGCCCAGTGGATACAAAGGAATCTACTGTGTAGAAGGCCCTGGGCTTTGGTCCTGGGGAGAATGTAACCTAGCAAGGAGCCTGTTGCAGTCAGGGAGCTCCGAGTATGTGTATACTGGGAAAAACAAGCAGCTCAGTGTGCCTGAGACACAGTGTGGGAAATGGGACAGAGAAAATTAGAGAAAGTAACCCGGGGGCCGATTATGGGAAACCTTCCACTCCAGGCCTAAGGGAATAAATATACTTCAATTTCACATGTTCGTCTCTCTCTGTTTCCTATTTTCTATGACCCAAATTCATTTCCCAGTAAAGAGATGAACCTCACCTAGCACTAAGCGGTGACAAAGTCAGACCACACACTCAGAAAAGAAAGGCAGAATGGCTTGTATCATCCATCAAAGTCACTCTACTATTGAAGGAGAGGTGAGGGCCAGATCAGACTGAGCGATATGAGATTTTTAAATACTTCAAAAGAAAATTCATTTATCTACCAATATGTTGTACATGAACTCTTATTACTTCAAGGACAATACTTGGCACCCATTTATTCCCAAAATGTATAATACCCAAGCTAACAAAATATTGTTAGTTTCCCTTTCTAATAAAATTATCTCCCTCCAGTTTACACAACTGTATTTAATAAATTTTACTTTTGAAATATAGGTTAACTATTTCTACCATATTCATTGTCACACTTAACAACTCTCTTACTTTCCAACCTGAATAAAGAACAACTAAATTAAAGATCCATCTGAATGAACATTCTACTCCAGGTATCCCTCGCTTTCTGGCACAGAAGAAAGCTGGTACCACCGGCTGAGAAACTGTTTTTATCCCAACGATTTCAATGATTAAAATCAGAGGTCTGATACCTGGGTAGAAAACCTTTCAGAAACACATTGAAATTTCTGGTGACACAGCCCTATGTGGGTGGCTCGCCTTTGAGCATTTAGAGCACCGCAGTGTGACGCTGGGGGTGAGTCATTCATCAACCCTGCCCTGACCAGGAAATGGTCCTTGTCCTACAATGAGCGCAGGCGCACTAAGGATTTGTCCCATATCCAAGAATCTTCCCACGTCCACAGTCCGAGGCCTTGAAATGACACTCATCTGTCGGATGAGTCATTGCTACGACGTCTCCAATACAAACAGGCCGTTCTACAAGATCAAACGTCAGTCTCACATCTAGCACACAGTCTGACCCAGCCTGAGGGTCTTTAAGCTTGAGGCGGCAGGTTAAAAAAGAAATGGGTACCCTACCTACGTCACAATTGGAAGGATAAAATGTGGTCTACTGAGAGGTTACTGTAAACGAGGGATACCTGAATTCTGAATTAATTTAGCATCTCTCTTCCCAGAAGCTGCCAAGCATTGGAGCGCTTGTGGAATTTAGTTCTTCACCCAAGTCGGTTCAGGCAAACTCCTGAAAGGGAAGAACGCTGCTCACTGACCTGCCTCCTCTTAAGACATTCCTTCTGCTGGTTGAATTAAAACTCCACAAGGAAAAACTACTTACAAAGATAAGAGAAAGACCACCGTTCCCTGCAGGTTAACCAGCACGGCCAGAGTTCTCCAGGAGCGGATGAAGTACCCCAACAGGGCATACTGGGCAATGCCAACTGCGAAGAAGAGGCCTCCGATCGAGCCTAATTTGGGGAAAAGAGACTTTTACTGGCGAGGCACCATCTTCAGGCCATTTCCAACCCCAGTCACAGAGCCAAGTCCTTCCTTGTGAGATGTCATCAGGAAAGAAAAACCTATACAAATACCGAGCATCAGATGATATAATAGAAAAGAGACCAGCAAATGAGTGGGCAAGAAGAAAGGACAGAGGAAAATTACAAACCACTTGTGGTCAAGATACATTTGAAGGGCCCGCACTTTCTGCACTGCATGTTGTACTGACATGTGCTGAGCCCATGGCTCAGGCTCGGAAATACATTTTGCTATCTGGCGTTTTAGGTCATGAGATTATTGCAATAATGGGACTTCATCTGTGTCACAGAAGTTGTCCCTGAAATCATTTAAAATCACAACCTAACTCTCAATCCTCTCTATTGCCCCCTCCCTACTTATCACCATCAGATATATAACATTTTATATTTATTTATTTATTGTCTGTCTCTCCCAAGTGGAATATAAGCTCCATGAAGCATGGATTTTTGTCAGCACACTGATAGAAGAAGAAAAAAAAAATCAACCAAGGGATTATTAAGAATCCTGTATTTTTTTAAATAAATGCCGAGATGGGTATTAAACCCACTGGCTTGCCCAATATACTTGCAAGCTCTTTACCTCCATCACACTTTCCATAACTGCTACTATTGCTACTGGTAGTAGAAATAGCTACTATTTACTTACATAATAGCAACTGTTTATTGAGCATCAAGCCTTTTACATACATTGTCCTATAAAGCAGTTACCATTATTAGCCATATACAGAGGGAGAAAATAGCTCAGAGGTTAGGTGCCGCTGTCTAAGGACACAGAGCTGTGTGTGGCATGACTGGGACTGGTACCCTGGTTGGTCTGACTGGAGAGAATGCATTTTGTTACATTCCTGTCTCGGAGCCCCCTTCTAGAGAAAAGTGGGCTTCTACGGGCACCCCACACCAACAGGACTTGGTTAATCCTGTTACAAAGTGTTTCTACAACAATCCTGCAAAACAAATGTTTTATTTCTGTTCCTAGATTATCAACCTATAAATAGAAATAATAAAGTGTATACCGTTTACCCTAGTGAGGCAAAAGGGAGAGCTGACATGACATGCTCAGCGCGTTCTTGGAACACCAAATCAGAATGCATGGTCCGATAAGTAAGGAATGGGGCCAATATGACTTAAGATAAGCAATAGCTATTACAGGTTCATTACAGTGCATCAGCTAGCACCTGGTTTCCAAGAATTAGGCTTTTTGTCCTTGTTCAGAACAGTTCTGAGTACTCAGTATCCACTGACAACAATGTAGACAAAAAAGAACAGAGTCCATGGGACCTTTTCAGAGGAACCAAGTTCAGGCCTTACTTCTGTTGCATGCTGCTGTGTGACTTTGGGCAAATCACTAAGTGTCTCTGAGCTTCAGGTTCCTCCTCAGTGAAAAAGAAATAATACTTACTTCAAAGGGTAGTTGTTAGTTTCAGATAAAATAATGCATGCTATACAAATGTTACACTGTCCTACTATAACATGGATATAACCCGTTACATCAATTAACTTTCCCCCAAAAGCCATTTGAAAGCCTCCTGTGGTGAGTGTCTATTATAAAATATTGTCTATGTAGCACCCCTAATTCCAAGTACACCCCTTGGTCATTTTGGAGTGCTGACCTCCCCTTACTTCATCCCTGCAGTTCAAGAGGGAGCCGCCAATCAGAACTCCCCTAGCTGCAAGGGTGGTCCCAGCCTAGCCAATCAGAGCTTTTACCCAGGATTTTAAATACTGGGTTTGGTGGTGAAAGCTGAGAGCTGCTGGGCCCCATCCCTGACTGAGCAGAGGAAGCTTCTTAGAGAGGATGGGGAACAGAGATGGAAAGCATCTGACTTCCAGGCTCTGGGCATCTCTGAGGCCTGGCTCTTCTGGGCTCAGTCATGCTAACCAAATGACTTCCCTTTATCCATAGATTCATCAGAGTCGATTCTCTGTCACAATTAGTAAGACCTGGTATCGACTGGATCTGATGGACAAGAGGAAATGACTCAAAGATTCTAGTTTGGTGACTTTAAATACTGTAACATCATTATCATAGATAGAGGTCCCAGAAGATGTTGGAGATTTTATTTTAGGTGAAAGAAAGCAATTATTTTTATTTAAGGGGCCGATAGACATTCATATCTAATGTCCAGCAAGAAGTCGCACATGTATGCCTGGCAGTGATAATAGAGATAAAATGTTGAGATGCAGATATGGTAAGGCTCTAGGATATATGGTTAACAAATTTAATTTAAAAATGAACATTTCAAATCACCACTTTTGCATACTGTAACTCTGGAACACTCTAGGTGGTTTTGTAACTGTTTATGGGCCTTTGGATATTTTTGCCTTTTTCTCAGGTTTTTGCTTAGTTTAAATTAATTTCAAGTCTGCTATTTCCTGCTCAGTTTGCACTAGTAAAAGTCAAATTTCAGCAGGTTAGAAAATAATGTATAGTGATAACTTCATTTTAGTAGATGGCACCAAGGATCCATCCAGTTTTCAAGCATATGCCATGATGTCTCCTCTCTCGTCCCCTCTCTGCTGGCTCTTTAGCGAGTCACGTTGCCGCCCAAATCCAGCTCAAAGGCACCGTCTTTCCTCCTCCCCTGCTACCACCTGTCTAAGCCACCATCAGATTTCGTGGGGCCAACCACAACATCTTCCTGAATGACCCCTCAGTTTCTACTCTTGCTACAATCCATTCGTCACACACCTACCAGGTGATCTTTCTGTATGTAAGAGCCTATCATTTCTCAATTATATTTTCCCACTGCACTTTGCATAAAAAAACCAAATTCCCCATTTGGCCTATCATGGGCCTTATGTCATCTAGTCCCTTCAACTTGCTCTCCCTCCAGTCTCCTTGTGCCTCTCCATCCTGCAGCCACGGGTGTCTTTCCACTTCTTCAGAGAAGCTCACTCCTGCCTCAGGACCTGCGTCCTTGCTATCCCATCCGGCTGGAATGCGGCCTCAGAATTTCACACGCCTGGGTCTCCTCCTTACTCACGTCTTAGATCAAATGCCTACCTCAAGGTTTTCTCCAACTATCCTATTTACAGCAACTGTCCCCCGCCATTACTGTTCTAGTCCGTTACCCTGTTACACTTTCTTCATTGTACTTATAATTTTCTGACATTACCTCATATTTGTCTGGCCTCCTGATTAATACATAAGCGCTATGAGAGCGAGGACCTTCCCTCGCCCACCCGTCTTGCCACTGTTTTATCCTACGTGCCTGAAAAAGCAGAGTCTGCTCTGTGCCAGGGTCTGTTTAATAAGCGAACGCTGCGGAACAGACATGCAAGGGAGAGCTCCGGCTGGATCCACAGCCATATGCTAACCATGGCGGGGAGCACTGTGTGCGTTCTTTGTACTTCACTTGTACATACTCCTGGATTCTATTTTACAATGGACATCGATTCCTTCTGTTGTAAGATGTTACTACAAGGACAAAATAAATAAATACATTAATATAAAATGTTTCATAGCTTCAGTATTTTATTTTTTAATTCTCAATAATTTTCAATTAGCCTCATTCTTATTATTAAGCACCACACTGCACATTGGTCAAAAATGGATATTTTCAGTTTATACTTATACCTTTCTACTAGTATACATACTTTACTTTGTGTATTTTATATATACAGCAAATATTATTTTGTAATCAAGTATAATCTTCCAAATTATTTTTTTTTACTGCTGAACAATTCGCCTACTTCCAACTAATCCCCTATTGTTAAACATTTAGTCCCCTCCCCCCAACTTCTTACAGTCTATTAGCATATTTGAAGCCATAGGAGTAGATAAGACTATGCTGGAGAGAAACAAAACCAGTTTGGAAAGAAAGGCCCTATGGGGCGGCCGGGTGGCTCAGTTGGTTACAGCATGTGCTCTGAACGACAAGGTTGCCGGTTCGACTCCCGCATAGGATGGTGGGCTGTGCCTCCTGCAACTAGATTGAAAAAGGGTGATGGGACTCGGAGCTGAGCTGCGCCCTCCACAACTAAGATTGAAGGACAACAACTTGACTTGGAGCTGATGGGTCCTGGAAAAAACAAATTGTTCCCCAGTAAAGTTTAAAAAAAAAAAAAAAAGGTCAAGGATAAGAGTCTGGGGAAGACCCCAAGTTGTAGGGGAGAGAAGGAAACTCCGCACGAAAGAGTTCCAGCGGCCATCGTGAGCATCCTTCCGTCCTGGGAGCAGGTCAGTGCCCTGGCTTTCCGGGAACTCTCTCGCAGGCACTCTAATTTCACATTGAATGTGGCAACCACCTGGTTCCTTCACTATTGTGTTTTTTTGGTGTTTTTTCCCCCCCTTTCTCCCTTTTTTCTCTGCTACAGAACTTTTAGTAGCCTCATCTTAACCCAGCTTCAAGGATAAGAATGAGGGGCTAAAGTATTTTCATAGAAATCCTCAATGGCTTTAGAAAACTGGCAAGGGTGTGAAAGACCAGGAGGCTTTTCTTCTTTTTTACCAAAGCATGAAATGGGGCAGGAATCATCCTAAATGATCTGGAAGGGAGAGGGCAGTATATGCGTTTTATAAAAGAGCATCTTCTTCATGGAACAACTAAAGTCAAACGTGAATAGTCTAATGGAGGAAGGTGCTAGGTACATGAAACACAGGCACTCATGAGGTTCTACATGAGCAAGGTTTTGGATTCAGGAACACTAAAACCACAGGAAGGAGTGCCTTTGTGTCTTCTCTGGATAACGCAAAAGGTCATGGTCACCATCATTAAGAATCTCTTGGAAAGTCCCAGCAAATCAGACCCCATGTCTGAAAAAAATGACATTATAGTCTCCATGCTAACTGAAGACTCAGAGGAGTTTTCTCACTGGTCCTAGCTCAGGAGCTGGGCTGGGGAAGAAAGCCCATTTCTAAGGGCTTTGGGGGCTGCTCTAGGTGCAGTGAGTCGTAAAGCACCACTGTGCGTGCCACGGGCAGAAATCCTGTCCTGCTGGGATGGAACTGGTGTCTCTGCTCACCAGCCTGCTTCTAACTTGTCCAGCCCTCTGCATCCTTCAGCTTGGACAGCAGTTTAGTAGATATAGTGAAGTTCCAAGAGGAGAGACCTCAGGGAACTGTGGGACCACATGAGCCTGGGCATCAACCAGACCCAGGTTACCATCCTGGCCCTATCACCTTATAAGCATATCATCTCACCTTCCAGAGGCTCAGGTTCCTCATCCATAAGATGAAGGTAGAAATTCTTAACTTACGAGCTCCAGGAAACTTACAGATACGTGTCAAGTGCCTAGTGTGGTAGCCGGTACATCACAGATGCTCAGCAAACGACAGCAGGCACTCTCTCATCTATGCCCTCACTTAGACATGTGTCTGTAAGTCATGCGATCGTGGTCCACGGCCATTAAGAGGGTGCAATAATTGCCAAATAAATGAAAAGCAAACCAAACAAAAAAGTTATCATTGCAAACCTACAGTCCACAAAGTAGAGTCTTAGATACAGACACTCCCCCAAGACATTATTTTAAGTCAAATAAACTTTTTAAATCATTTATTTTACTACACTGAGAAGATGATGAGATAGTTAATACAGAATATGACCTCGATTTTGAAACTTAAACATCAGTAAAAAAATGTTCCAATCGTACTATCTGCTGATTTGAAGAGAACAGTAAAAACCAGAAAGGCCTATGGAGCTAGGGTTAAATAAAAGAACAAGAAAGCTCTGAGAAAGGAGTTTCTAGTACTTCCTATCTCTGAACTATTTTTCAGTTTAAGGTTAAAAAGCAGTTACAGCCCATCTGAGGAAACTGACACTCTGATAATGGTGTGCAGGCAATATGGTATGCAGGATGAGGGGCAAGCCCTCCATCCATAAAGCACACCCAGGGCAGACTTTCCACAGAAGGATACAAATACAGTGACTCATTCAAGGTCATAAGAACAAACGCAGCAAAGCAAATCTAATAGTTGGATAGAGCACATCATGTCCAAATGCATTTTTAGACTGTAGGGTTAAACTGGTTCCCTACAAAGTTTTGGGGAGCAGCTTACCATGTCCATAACTGCACAGATTTAAGTAGTACCTGCGAGAGCCCAGTAGGCAGTGCCCACACATTCGTTCAGCAGGACAAAGGCCACCAGCGACATCCCTCCATTCATCATGCCCACCAGGAAGCGAGTTATTGCAAAGAACTCATATGAGGGGGAAAACCCATTTGCAATAGCAAATAAGATATCAAGGGCAAATCCTAGAAAGAGAGGAACAGCATTCAATAATCCAGAGGCAAAACAGCATTTGGTGAAAGTAATAAATTATATTCATTAGTTTATAAAGAAAAATCTCTGCAAACTTAAATTTTCTGAGCTATGGTTGTTGGTTGTTTTTTTTAATGGTTTCTCTTAAAAACTGTAAATAAAAACTGAGGTTTTCTATCTTTGTTACAAGCTAATATCTATCCATCACACAGTTGTCAATTATTCACAATAATGCTGGAAATGTAAAAATCCTAGCTCACACTCAGCTCGTCAAGAGAACTATGCTGTTGAGTTCATTTGAAATGAATCAACACACACAAGATATAAGGAACTGGGTCTAGTAGGCTTTCTCAATCTTTGTTCTCCTTAGAAACATGGCATAAATTAGAATTTGGCGGTTACAGAAAGCACCATCACCTATGAAAAGCTTGCAGTGCAAATATCTGGCCTTCTGCAGTGATGCCCGTCACTTGAACATGTGTGGCCAGAATCAACTCTGGCTGCAGTTTGGCCTCTTGTCATGTAGTATTATAAAAACCAGTTCTGGGTCCACATGGCAATCCCCTGAGAGCCTGAAGGAAACAGTCTCCTTATTATTTCCCTGAGGACCTTAGGGAAATATGTCCTTTTATTCCGTTCATGAACACTCTAATAGATTACCTGTGAGATAGACCTTTTTCCTTCCAAAGCGATCCGAAAGCTGGCCAAAAGAGATCACTCCCACAAACACTCCACTGAAGAAAAAAGAGCTTGCTGCGCTGACTTTGTAAGATCTGTTGGCTATTAAAAACCACTAGAGAAAGAGAGAGACAATTAGGTCACAGAAAAGATGGGTGGATTGAGTTAGCTATTAAAAAAAATGTACAACAAAAACATGTACACTGCAACTTCTCCACTGCATTACCCACTGTGAACAAGAATTCAGGTAGCATCCATCTTGGATAACATCCAAGGAGATTCAGTCTTCAGAAACACTAGAAATCATTGTTATTGTAATGTGCTCCCCTAGTATTCTATACATATCTTATTAGGGCCGTGGACACAGTATGTGGTAGTTAATTATTTATGCATCTGTTGACTATGTCCTTCATCCCAAGGCCCTGTGTTTCTAGGTAATAGGAGCCATGTCCCCATTAATGTCCATTTCTCTGACACCAAACATACTACATGACATACGTGAGGCGGTAAACGGCCCTTTTCTCCAATTGATTAATGGGTTTAAAATCCTTTGAGTTCTTTTCTCAAAAAATTAAACATATAATTACCATATGATCCAATAATTCCACTTCTTGGGTATATACACAAAAGAACGGGAAGTAGGAACTCAAGCAGATATTCATACACTAATGTTCATAGCAGCATTATTCACAGTAGCCAAAAGGTGGAATCAACCCAAATGTCCATCAAGAGATGAATAAACAAAATATGGTATATACATACAATGGAATATTATACAGCCTTTAAAAGGAAGAAAATTCTGACCAGCTGCTACGTGGAAGAACCTTGAGGACATCACGCTAAGTAAAATGAGGAGACTGTCGCACAAACTCCAAAAGAGTCTGGAGGCTTTGCTAGGGGTGAATGATAACGATTTATTGCATAGCTAGGCAAAAAGCCAGAAGTGTCCCAAAGAAGAAAGAAAAGTTAAAAGCTCTTGTAGTAAAAAGTACATTCTTGAGGGTTATCAGTCCTGCATTCTTAGCCCTAGGATTGGTCCAGGATGGTGATCAGTCAGGCTGAGGGATGCCAGGTGGATGTCTACATCAGAACTCTAAGGGGTAATCAAGTGGTCTGGATAGGTGGGCCCTTCAGGGGGTAGTCAGAAGGTTATCTGGAGGTCCAGATGTATGTTCAGGCATAAACGTAAGACTGGAAAAAGTTCAAAAAGTTGAAGCTCCCAGGCTAATTAGAACACGAATAGAGTCTTTCTTCATGCCTCAGCCTTCACAATGGTAATAATTTTAGTAGCTTGGTTAAAGTGACTCCATTTTATATATTCCCTATCATCTCTCTTTCCTCATATGCAAGAGGAACAAATATTATATGATTCCATTTATGAGTGTGTAAAAAATATAAACAGAGCCATTTTAAAACTAAGTTGAAGCTGCCATCCCAGAGGAACTGTCTTACTCCTCAAACCTTTGGGATGTTAAAACTGGGCAAAATCACCTTTGGACTGGGCCTAAGGCAGCACTGTATCCCAAACAACTGTTTGTTATAACTACCCACTGAAAATTAAAGACACTCTTTAGAACGAGCATTACTATGTTAGCTTATCTGCATCTATAGAAATTCCTTCCTCAGCTTATTAACATGCATAGAAATTCCTTCTGTATATTCATGTAATTATTCCCCTTCCCTTTATGATAAATACCCCTTGCCTTTACCTCCTAATCAGAACACTATTTGGGTTTCTGCCCAAATCAGTGCTTTGAAGATAGTTATTCTTTTGGATCTCAAATAAATGCTTGTTGCCTCTAACTATGGCCTTTTATTTTTTAGGTTAACAAGTGTGAGCAATTTACAATAAGAAATATACAGAAGGTGCCCAAAACATGTATACACATTTTAAGAAAGGAAAACTGTATTAAAATTGTAATACTCAATATATACCGATAACAAAAGATGAATACAAGTCACGTTTGACTTCTGCAATTACAAGAGGTGCTCAAAGTGGTTACCATCAGCACCCAGACACTTCTGATTACTGCGAACTACTGCTTGAGCAACGTTGACCAAAGTGTCCACTTGTATATGTTTTTTTTGGCACTCCCAGTGTATTTGGTCTTCATTTACTGTTCCTGGCATGTAGCTTCTGAACCCCATGACATTTCCTATATAAGAACCATAGGGGCATTTTTTGTTATAATATTTAGTTTTGTTCCTAGTTCCTAAAAATCTTCAGAGCAATAAAGCTAAAAGGGGGTCTTGTTTTTTACAAGCCCCTTTCAACCACACCTGAGTATATGCTAATGAGGTGACTTTTGGAAAGCCCCTTAGATGGGGGCTGGTTGTCAGGGGAACCAACATTGATCAGAGGCTTGAAACTTTCAGCCCTGCCCGCCAGGCTTCCATACAGGGGAGAGGGACTGGAGGTTGAATCAATGGCCAATGGCCAATCATTTCATCAATGATGACAATGTAATGAAGCCTCCATAAAAAAAACCCAAAAGGATGGGGTTCATAGAGCTTCTAGGTTGGGGACCATGGGGAGCTTCTGGGAGGGTGGTACACCATAGAGAGCCTGGAAGCTCTGTGCCCCTTCCCACATGCCTTGCCCTATCCATCTCTTTCATCTGGCTGTTGATGAGTTCTATCCTTTTATAATAAACCAGTGATCTAGTAAGTAAAATGTTTTCCTGAGTTCTGTGAGCTGCCCAGCAAAGTAATCTAACCCAAAGAGGAGTGCCATTATCTAAAGCCCTGTCTGGTGATGTGCCAAGATGATCCTTGGCTATAAAGGTAAAAGTCAACCTATATCACAGAGGTAACCTCAGAGGACCAAGAGAATGCTCGTTTTCTCCTTTGCAGCCCCTTTCGTAGAGTGAGCACAGACAGGGTGGAGAGCCCCTCCTCGGAAACTTGCAAGGAGGCACCTCTCTTGGTTGTCCCTTCTCCACCTTTCTAGCCACTCCTTTCCCACGCTCTGTCAAGGCAGTCTATTGGGTTGTTGGAAAAGTCATGATATATTTTTTCTATGTTTTTTGTTGCAAAAATGCGTCATGACTTTTCCGACAACCCAATAGTTTCTCTTCTCTTGTATTTCCTGTGAGACTGAATCGATAAAGATCTTAACAAGGCAGCTTCTGTACATCTCAGTGCAGCAACAACAGAAACAAAATTCAGGCGTTGGAAAAAAAACGAGGATAATGGCCCCCTCCAGAATGCTGTGCTTTACTTCTAAAGCACCCTGTTCCTCACAGGTAATGCTTAACAAGGGAAATTAACTGGTTTGCCTGGCCCTTAGAAACAGTGACCGGGAAGTGACTGCTCTTGGGGGCAGTCATCATTTAAATAAGAGAGTGACAGCGGCCCTATGACAAAAAAAACCAAACTACGCTCCAGACATTTTTCATTCGGGAATTCAATAAGTATTTGATTCGTTTCTACTAGGGGTTAATAACTATTCTAAAGACTGGGAATACAGATGTGAATGAGCTAGACACGGTCCCTGCCCTCCCGGCAAACAAGTGATAGTGGAGTAAGATAGACATTAAACAAGTAAACACATAGGGTGAAACTGAGGGGAAACCCCTTTAAATAAGGCATTCAGGGAAGGCTTCTCTGGGGAGGTGACGTTTGTGACCCTGAGGATAAGTGCAATGGCCCTAAGGGGAAGACACATCAGTGTGCCCCTAGTGGAGGTGGTATGAAATGAGGTCACAGAGGTGAGTGGGCATCAGGGCATGCACGGCCCTGAGCCCTGAGTAGGAGCTGGGGTTTTATTCTAGTGCAAAGGGAAGATGATGAATTACTGGATTTATGTTTCTAGTGCTCACTCTGGCCACTCTTAGAAAATGTATTACAACAGGAAAAGTGGGAGCAAGGAGCCTGCTGCAACAGTCTAGGAGAGAATGCAGCTTGGACCTGGATGGAAGCAATGGTGATGAAGAGAAGTATCATGCATGCACTTGGGGTGTGTTCTGAAGGCAGAGCTGGCAGGACTTGTTGATGAACGAGATGTGGAGTGGGGAGGACAGAAAGGGAGAGTCAAGGATGACAGCTAAATTTTTAACTTGAGCCACTCAATGGACAATCGTGACAGTTGCTGAGATGCAGAAGGCTGCAAGGGGGTATGAAGTGTGTGGCGGGAAAGGAAGAGTTCTGTTTAGGCGTGCAGAGGCAGAGACACCTATACGACATCCAAGTGGAGATGCCAAGTGAGCATTTGGATCTGAGTCTTGAGCTCAAGGTTTGCTGTGAAGAAGAGCCAAGAAATGGGACAGTATGTGACAGGTATGTGGGGTCAAAGACTATTGGTGCACTTTTTTAAACACGTGTGCATGTTAATGAGAGCAACCCAGTAGAGAAGATACCCTTGCAGGAGAAAAGCAAGAAGGGACGGGCATGACTGTGCAAAGTAGAGAGCTCAGCCTTTCACAGCAGCCGGGAGGTAACACTGTAAAAGGGAGGGTGGCAGAATGTGGGCTCAGACGCAGGCAGTGAAGGAACTCCTGCCTGACTGCTGCATTTCTTCTTCACTGAAAATATCAAGTGAGGTCAACAGTGGAAGGGAGTGGAAGTGGAAGGGGAGTTAGGAGTCTAGGAAGGAATGTCACACAGGATCCCCCCAGGAGTGGGACACAGCCCATTCAAGGGAAATGCTGTAGGGCTGGCAGGCCATGCTGAGTGCACCCTTCCTTGAGCTCTGTAGTTATCAATCTTAGGAGGAGGAGGTGGGCGGGGGGGTGTGTGTGGCAGGATGGCTCAGTTGGTTAGAGCACGTGCTCTTAACAACAGGGTTGCTGGTTCAATTCCCGCATGGGATGGTGGGCCCTTGCAACTAGATTAAAAACAGTGACTGGACTTGGAGCTGAGCTGCACCCTCCACAACTAGATTGAAGGACAATTTGCGATGGGTCCTGGGAGAAACACACTGTTCCCCAATAAAGTTAAAAAAAAAAAGAGTTTAAAAAAAACAAGAGGAGGAGGTGGGGAGTTAAGTTTACAGAGTTGGGGATTTCCCAGGAACACTACAGAGGGATAGTGGCAGCTGGGATTGCTAAGCAGTGATTATTGTAATGGAATATGAGCTGATTAAGGAGAAAAGGAAGACATTTGGGGGATGGATGG